ATAATGGCTTCCAGCTTCATCAATGTCCCTGCAAAGGACATGAACTCATCCTTTTTTATGGCTGTATATATGGCATAGTATTTCATGGTGTGTATGTGCCAGATTTTCTTTATCTTTATCCAGTTATTTCTGGATCTAGGTCCTTGAGGAGTTGCCACACTGTCTTCCACAATGTTTGAACTAATTTACACTCCCGCCAACAGTGTAAAAGCATTCCTATTTCTCCACATTCTCTTCAGCATCTGTTGTTTCCGGACTCTTTAATTATTGCCATTCTAACTGGCATGAGATGATATCTCATTGTGGTTTTGATTTGCATTTCTCTAATGACCAGTGATGGTGAACTTTTTCATATGTTTGTTGGCCATATAATTGTCTTCTTTTGAGAAATGTCTGTTAATATCCTTCACCCACTTTTTGATGGGGTTGTTTTTTTCTTGTAAATTTGGGCAGTATGACCATTTTCACAATATTGATTTTTCCTGTCTATGAGCATGGAATGTTTTTCCACAGAATGGCTATTTTTTAAAAAGTCAAAAAATAACAGATGCTAGCAAGGTTGTGGAGAAAATGGAAAGCTTGCTTACACACCGCTGGTGAGAGTGTAAATTAATTCAACGATTGTGGAAAGCAGTGTGGTTATTTCTCAAAGAACTAAAAATAAAATTATCATTTGCCCTAGAAATCTCATTACTAGGTATACACCCAAAGGAATATCAAACATTATACCTTAAAGACACATGCACACATATGTTTATTGTAGCACTATTCACAATGGCAAAGACATGGAATGAACCTAAATGCCCATCAATAGTAGACTGGATAAGGAAAATGTGGTACATATACCTCAGGAAATACTATGCATTACTATGCATCTATAAAAAGTAATGAGATTAGGTCCTTTGCAAGAACATGGATGTAGTTGGAGGTCATTATTATTAGTAAACTAATGGAGGAACAGAAAATAAAATATGTATGTTCTAACTTATAAATGGGAGCTAAATAATGAGAACTGGTGGGCATAAAGAAGGAAACAGTCAATACTGGGGCCTACTTGATGGAGGAGATTGGGAACAGGAAGAGGATCACAAAAATTACTGTTGGGTACTATGCTTAGTACCTGGTTGACAGAATGCTTTGTATAACAAACCACCATAACACAAATTTGCCTGTATTAATAAGCCTACACATGTACCTCTGAACCTAAAAAAAAAAAATTGAAAAAAAAATTCCATCATAGATCCTAGGTGAAAAAAGACAAAAAAAATTATATTAAAAATATAAAAATAAAAACAATTTCGCTTTTTGTAGATATAAATATTTTTAAAAAACAAATATGTTAAATGTAGCGTTTTATTTTGGTTAGATAGTTGCTAAGGCAAAAAGTACAAAACGCAGATTAAAAAGACCTTAGCAGAAATCACAGATCTGCACTAAAATATTCATATAAAACTTGGCAATTTAATTAACTCCCGTGTACTTAATCATTATTATTTCAAATGATGATGAGAATTCAGACTTCAAACATTTGTTGTGAGAAATTTATGAGTTAATGCCAAAGAAAATTTCTGGTGGCTAATGAACATGCAAAAGCAAGTGTTTTTCACATCACAAATATATAGTGTTGCCTTAACAGTATTTTTTAATAAAAATATTTCATAAGTATATGTAAAAATAGTAAAATTAAATTAAATTGAAGACATTTAAAATAAGTGTATGTATGAATAATAAAAAGTAGATTATTAAAATGTAAACCAGAAAAATAGTTGCTTTATTTTTACTCAATTTTTATATAACTTCTTCCCATATTGTTTTGCATGTATGTTTTAAAACTAGTACAATTATATAATTCTCCCAACATTAATTTTCAAATATTACCTGTAATATGAATTATTCACTGCAAAATATTGTATCCACAACTTCAATGTTTGAACTAAGTTCTTTGTTTGTAGTTTCTCACTTGAAAAGAAATGTTTACATATTGGGTGCAATTTTAGAAATATGCATCAAGTCTTGAAATAAATTAGATAACATTTGGCTTTGACTATTCCAACTCTTTCTCAAAGACATTACTATATTGGTTCTATTATGTATATGACAATTTGAATAAAAATAACAAAGTGGTTAAAATGTTCTGTTAGAAACAAATCATTAATATAAATTTATATAAGTTAAGAAGGTATGGTACTAACATTAGCATAGACTAAAAAATATATAAAAATATACTCACACATTACTGTTGTATGTATGTTTGTGTCCACCTCAAATTTTCGGTGTTGAAATCTAATTCCAAGGTAATGGAATTAAGTTGTAAAGCCATTTGGGAGTGACCAGGTCATGGGATTAGGACTCTTATAATGGGAATAGTGTGCTTTTAGACACCATAGAGCTAATTCACCCCTTCACATTGTGAAGACTCAGCTACCAAATACCATCTATGAACCAAAAATTCCTCATCAAACATTGAATCTTATGATGCCTTGATCTTGGCATTACTGGCCTCCAGAACTGTAGGGAATAAAGTTCTGTTGTTTATAAGTCACCCAGTTTATGGTATTTAGTTATAGTGGCCCAAAAGAACTAAGCCATCCGGTCACATATACAGACAAAAGGGGTTTTGTAAAAGAGTAGTGTAAATTATAGAACTTTCACTGATGTTTATTCAATTAAGAATCCATAACGGAAATAAATGAACTGTACTTTTACAGTAAAGCAATTTCAGTAGATTAAAGATCTAAATGTTGAAAGTGAGATAATCTTATAAATAAATAATATAAAACACAATTGACATAACTTAAAGGGGGGCAGGTTTTTTTTTTCTGTTTCTCAACACAAAATCACTATGAAGAAAAATATTTTAAATTTGACTATATTACATTGTCAGAAAACAAAACCTCTTTTAAATGAAAATATAAATAGAATAGAAAATTGAACCACCAGCTAAGGATAATGCATGCCATACATGTAAGCAGTTAAATTTTTGATAGAGAATACATATAAGGCTCATATCTCTCAATACAGAGAAAAATAGAGAATTGAATAAATGAATGGGCAAAAGACTTAAATTGGCACTTCTCAAATATAAATATAAAATGAGAAACATATAACACTGCTTAATATTATCAAAAATAGAGAAAATAGAATCCAGCAATCAATGATAAACCAAGAAACACCCATAACATTTAAGTGGATAAGACTAAAAATTCAGCAAAGCCAAGGGTTGTGGGGGCATATAGGGTAATGAGAAATTTTATGCATCACTAGTTGGGTTATAACTGGATTAACAACCTTGGAGTACTGTTTGCATACTTGATGAGTGTGAATATGTATATATTCTGAGACTCAAGTATTCCACTCCCAGGTATCACCTAGAAAAATAGTTACACATGTGTGAAAATATTCACTGTAGCATTGTATAAAATCATCAGAAATTTTGAATTCATGCATATGCCCATTATAATGAACTATTTTTATTTCTAAAGGTAGGATGGACCCCTGTGAGTCATTACAGTAATTTATACTCAGTATAGACCAATGTGTTCTTGAAATAGTTTATACTAATGGATCTGAGTCACTACTACAGTGAAAAAGAAAGAAATCTGGATAATTCAACCCATTAAACTAATCAGAATTACAAAGCTGAAGTTGTGTCTTAGATATAGTCCCTTGACATAATAGGGAAAAAAAATCAAAAGTTTATTTAAAAGTATAGATAAGTCATGGCTAATAGCTTACCTTGAAAAGATTATACTTTTCTAATAAATACTTTAAAGCAGTAATGATTTTTGTGACAGGCAGTACTATAACATGACTCAAATGTTTCTCTTAAATGAACAGGTCATGTGACTTGGTTTTAAGCAATAGAATATGACAAAGCTATGACATGTTTTGTTGTGGCATAGCTAAGGTAAAATAATTTTGCAAATTTAATAAACACCCCTAATAAGCTGACTTTAAGTGAATAGAAAATAAATTATCCTTATTAGATTTGACCTAAACAGTTTAGCCCTTTAAAAGAGGTTCTGAAAATCAGAGATTTTTCTTTGTTCTGCTGTTGTTGAAGAAGTAAAACTTTCCCCTCATATATAAGGCTTTGAGGAAATTCATTCTACCAATACTGTGTACGCTTGGAGCTTGGCGATGACCTAGAACCTCAGATGAGTCCCCAGCCCTGATACCTTGTTGCGATGATGAATGCCCCAGTCGTAGACTCAGTTTTTCCATGCCCATACCCTTAAACTATGGAAACCATGTGATAACCAATGTGCATTACTTATTTCCATTAAATTTGTGATAGTGTATAGAGCATACATATAGAAAACTGATAGGTACTCAAAATTAAAATTAAAATAGTGATTGCAAATCTTCCCAAATAATTAAACAAACATTTCTTATTTCTAGGCTTGTAAATTAAATTTTTATATCTCTACAGAATATTAGTTTTGTATCTTTCTCTTTTCTTTATGTTCTCCATCTTAGCCTAGTTGGTCAGAATCTGTATTTTAAAAATTCAGCAGTTGTATGTCTAATATTTTACTTCACATTTTTGACCTTGGAGAAAGCTTTGAACTTCCTTTGGCTTTAGTTGGTTTGCTGGCAATATATTGGTCTCCAAAGGGATTGTGTGAATGCTAAGTAGGTGCACACGCTGCCCCACTGTTGCTTAAAAAGATACTGTAAGGGCATTTATTTCATTTATTTGTCATTGCAAACTATTAAAAGTCCAGTTTTCAGATGCTATCATTTAAATGATACACTTGTATGATTATGTGTACATTAATGTTAAGGTTGTCATTGAAGGAACAAAACTACCAACCCAAAGACTCAGCCTAGACACTGACAACATAAACCATGCTTTACTAACTACATTAATGTAATTTTGGGGTTCAGGGGTTCAGCGTGCCCTTAGCTGCCCTGAGAGGACATTTCTCCAGGTTGTTGGTTTCCTGCCCTCTCAAGAATGAGAGGGAACAGTGCACAGTAAATGCCAGACTCAAAAGTGTTGGTAGAAAGTTATTTAGAGAGAGAGAGAGAGAGAAACAGGAGAAGGAGAGAGAAAGAAATAGCTACTTTCACACTGAGTGAGAGACACCAGAAAGATGAAATTCAGGAGAGGAAAGCAGCTTCCACCCTGAGTAGAAGGGAATAGAAAGAGATGGAGTTTAGGAGGGGAAGAGAGGCTTCCATGAAGGGAGTGTTCATGGAAGGGGACTCCAGAAGGAAAATCTAGGATAGAGAAAAACAGCTTCCATGAGAGTATCTGGAAAGGGATCCAAACATGGAGTCCGAAGGGGTCTGGAAGAAGAGGACTTTTAACCTGGGAGGAACCTCCACCTTCTCTCAGACATTTAAGTTGATAAGACTGGCCAATGAAAGGAGTTCCTTAGAACTCCTGCTGGGTGATTGACTCTTAGTTTCTTCCTGTGCCCATTAAATTTAAACATAAACCTTTAAATCTCCCAGATGAAGAGAGATGGGAGGGGGCATGGCGCTGGGAAGCTCTTGCCCTTAAAACTATTCCCACTTGTGGACCTGGAACAAGAACACACCTTCCCTCATTAACATGATTCTCTTATTCCATGGTCTTCATTAGAATTACTTTAATCTTCCTAAATGACCATTCCCAAGAAAAATCCTTCGAATAATCATCATAGAAAGTTTCTGAAAGACCCATGACTCCTCAACAAACAGTATCAACAGTTTGGGCACTAAGATTCTATAAATCTAAAATCTCTCCTCTTAAAATCCTTTTCTTACATTCCAACAATTTTACATTGGTATTATTAGCTTTACCAAACCCAATCAAGTCTTCTCCTTGAACCACCCTCCTTCAATTGAACTTCCAAATCTCACTAGATTTAGAGTTTACCTTCTCAGAGATACTGTCAGAGCTTTGAAACGTGATGTTTTCCCTCATCAATGTAAACAATAAACTCAACTTGTCTTATGAATTTGTTGTTTGTTTATATTAGGAGACAAATGACTTAAGGACAAAATAGTATTTATAAAACATTCTAACTCTAAAATTCTGCACTGATTTAAATAATGATTTCATCCTTGAGATTTTTACATTCCTAAAAATGGTATTTTCTTTCATATTTTGAACCATTTATCTTTCTCTTGCATGCTCCATTGAATGAGCCATGAAGCAATGTTATTAGAGTTGATTTTGAAACATTTTAAAATATCTATTTAAAGTCCTAGTTTTGTATACTTAAATAAACAATTTTAGAAAACAAATGAATAGCAATTTTTGGAAAGTTCTAATAATTATTTGGTTACTTAATAACATTTAAATTTTCAATTCAAATTTACAAAATTGTTTGTAGAATGTATCCTAGAAATACCACACATTAAGGACCTGATCTCCCTGAACAAACTCTGGGCTTGGCTTTTACTTGTCTTTATCATTTTTGTAGTGCATGACACATAACTGTATATTAGATACTCTTAACATAACCATTTGGAATTACAGTTTTAAAAGAATGATAGTTATATGGCAATTGCCCTGTTGTAATTCTTTATATGTTGGGATTTAAAATATATAGATATATTATCTATATTAAAATACATACTATATATATTTTAATATATAGATATATTATCTATATTTAAAAAATATATATCTATATATTGAAATAATATTTAAAATATCTATATCTTTATATTATAAATATAGATAATATATCTATATATTAAATATATATAAATATTTAATCTACTATCTATCTATTTAATCTATCTACTTTAAGCAAAATTGCCCTGTTTAATTTCTTTATATTTATATATGTTTATATTTAATATATATTAATATTTAATACAAATATATAAATACAAATATTTATAAATATTTATGTTTATATAAATATATAATATTAATTATTTATAATATTAAGTAAATTACTAACTTGTTAAGATTATAAGGAATGACGTAAAATTAAAAAGGTTCTTTTCAGGCTAATAAAGATGCATATTATATTGTTATATATCCAACTAGTATATCAACATAATATTTTAAAAATAATGGATATGTTGTTATAGGGAATTATTTCTTTAAAATTCAGTTAAATTAGATTGTTTAGAATTTTCTTTAACTTCTCACAGACACAAGTATCTAAGAACTGAAGGAATAATTTGCAGAGTAGTGTCTGGAGACTGCTGCAAATCCCACACCTGCTAAAACTCACTCCTCTGCTAGCCACAGCTGGAGGAAGAAAATGACTCCTGATTTCTATTTTACCTTCCAAATATCAAGCACATGCTTTTTCTTGGCAGAATTTAAATTTGGATCATGCTGTCAGACACTTCTGGGAAATGCAATTCCAAGTCATCCATTCTCTGTAAAACTGGGGTTATTACAGGCATAGGGAAAAATAGTGTTGTATACCAATAGACGTTCTAGACAGGTTCACCAATGCTTTTTATAAATTTGATCTTGAATTATTCAGTGACATTATCTCATTTAAAATCTAAATGTTGAGGTATAAAAAAGAATTTCATCATTTAAATAAATCTTGTATTTATATTTATCATCACTATTTAAACATACTTTTTTACTACTCAAAATTTAATACTTTAGTCCCTTTGTTTCATGTAATGTTTCATTGAGCAAATATGATTGGGGAAAATGCCCAAGCTCCAAATTAGCTTCACTGAATTTCCAAACTGCATGTATAATAACTTATCTAACATCTCCCAAAAAATGCCTAATAGGCATCTTAAACTGAACAGACTAAGAGGCCTCTTGATCACACATTCAGTCTCCCTCTGCACTTTTCTTCCTGATGCAGGAAAGGACATATTTTTATCCACTTGGCTATCACGTCATGTATCACCTAATTCAGGAAAGTTTTAAAAGTAAAAGGGGATGCTATTTTTAATTAAGCTGAGGTAATACTCATAAAGCAACAAAGTATCTGCTTGATATCTCTATCTATTTGCAAGATATTTTAGTAGGGTACACCAACATCAACATAGGTTGATTCCATTTATTTATGTAGAATATGTCATGAAATGTTCTTTAGAATATCCACAGTTATGCAGCCAGCATTGTAATACATTTTTCTGAATATCTTACTTCCAAAAAGCAATTTTCTACCCGTAACTGTCACTCCCCAGCTCCTCACTCCCTTCTATTTCCTACCACCAACTAATCTCCTCTTTAGCCTATGTAATTGCATATTCTGGACATTTAATGTAAATGAAATCAGTCAATATCTCATCTTTTGTGACTGACTTCTTGCACTTAGCATATATTATCAAATTTTATCCATGCATCTATACTTCATTTTTTTCACTGCCAAATAATATTCAATTCTTTGGATATATATTATACAAGTCCCTTGGTATATGCAGGGAATGCTTCCAGGACTCCCATGTATAGCAAAATTTATACATACTCAAGTCCTGCAGTAGCCACTGAAAAACCCATACATTAAAGTTGTTCCTCCATATACATAGTTGCTCATTCAGTGAATACTATATTTTAGCATCATGCTGGTTGGAAAAAGAAAAAAAGAGAATTTAAGGGAATCTGATATGATTTAGCTGTGTTCCCACCCCTCTCATCTTGAATTGTAGTTCCCATAATCCCCACGTGTCATGGGAGGGAGCCGGTCGGAAGTAACTGAATCATGGGAGTATTTTCTTCTATGCTATTCTCATGATAGTGAGTAAGTTTTCATGAGATCTGATGGCTTTGTGAGAAGCCTCCGCCTTGGCTCAGTTCTCATTCTTCCTTCTGCCACCTTGTGAAGAAAAATGTGTCTGCTTTACTTTTGCCATGATTGTAAGTTTCCTGAGGCTTCCCCCATGATGCTGAACTGTGAGTCAATTAAACTTATTTATTTTATAAATCACCCAGTCTCAGGTATGTCTTTATGGCAGCATGAAAACAAACTAATACTGAAAATTGGTACCAGGTGGAGTGGAGCACTGCTATACAGAAACTAGAAAATGTGAAAGCAATTTTGGAACTAGGTAACCAGGCAAAGGTTGGAACACTTTGGCGGGAACATGTGAGAAAGTTTGGAATTTCTTAGATACTTCTTAAATGGCTTTAACAAAAAAATGTGATAGTGATATGGAAAATGAAGTCCAGGCTGAGGTAGTCTCAGATGGAGATGAGGACCTTGTTGGGAACTGAATCAAAGTTGACTCTTGTTATGCTTTAGCAAAGAAATTGGCAGCATTTTGCCCCTGCACAAGAGATCTGTGGAATTTTGAACTTCAGACATGATTTAGGGTATCTGGTAGAAGAAATTTCTAAGTGGTAAAGTGTTCAAGAGGAAGCAGAGCAAAAAAGTTTGTAAGATTTACAGCCTGACAATGCTATACAAAAGAAAAACCCATTTTCTTGGGAGAAATTGAGGCACGCTGCCAAAATTTGCTTAAGTAACGATGAAGAGCAGTATGTTAATCACCACGACCATGGGGAGAATGTCTCCAGGGCATGTCAGAGCTGTTTGTGGCAACCCCTCCCATCATAGGTCCAGAGACTTAGGAGGGAATAGTGGTTTTGTAGACCAGACCCAGGGTCCTCCTGCTCTGTGCACACTCAGAACATTGTTGCCTTCCATGCCAGCTGCTTCAGCTCCAGCCATGGCAAAACAGGCTAACATACAGCTCAGGCCATTGCTTCAGAGGATGCAAGCTCTAAGCCTTGGCAGCTTACACATGCTGTTGGGCCTGTGGGTACACAGAAGTCAAGAACTGATGTTTGGGAGCCTCTTCCTAAATTCCAGAGCATGTATGAAAACACCGAGATTCTCAGGCAGAAGTTTGTTTCAAGGGTGGAGCCCAAATGCAGAACCTCTGCTAGGGCAGTGTGGAAGGGAAATGTGAGGTTGGAGCTTCCACACAGAGTCCCCACTGGAAACCACCTAGTAGAGTTGTGAGAAGATGGCCACCATTCTCTAGACCCCAGAATGGTAGATCCACTGATGGTTTGCATCATGTGGCTGGAGAAGCTGCAGACACTCAATGTCAGTCTGTGAAAGCAGCCAGGAGGGAGGCTGTACCCTGCAAAGCCAAAGGGCACAGCTGCCCAAGGCAATGGGAGCCCAGCTCTTGCATCAGCATGACATGGATGTGAGACACAGAGTTAAAGGACATCATTTTAGAACTTTAAGGTTCATAGACAGAAGGGACTTGGCTTGTCTTTGATGAGACCTTGGACTTGTACTTTTGGGTTGATGCTGGAATAAGTTAAGACTTTGAGGAATTGTTGGAAAGACATAATTGTGTTTTGAGTTGTGAGAACATGAGATTTGGGAGGGGCTAAGGCAGAACTAAATGGTTTGGCTATGTCTCCACCCAAACCTTATCTTGAATTGTAGCTCCCATAATCCCCACATGTCACAGAAGGAACCCTGGAAAAGATAATTGAGTCATGTGTGCAGTTACTCCATGCTATTCTCCAGATAATAAGTTCTCATGAGATTTGAAGGCTTTATAAGGAGCTTCCCCCTTTGCTTGGTTCCCTTTCTCTCTCCTGCCATTATGTGAAGAAGGACATGTTTGCTTCCCCTTTTGCCATGATTGTAAGTTTCCTGAGGCCTCCCTAGGCATGCTGAACTGTGAATCAAGTAAAACTCTTGCTTTTATAAATGACCCAGTCTTTGGTATATCTTTACAGCAAGATGAGAACAGACTAATACAAAACCCATGCTGTTCAAACCTGTTTTTCTAGGGTTAATTATATCTTGTTTACACATTATTTGATGTGCAGTTGAGGTGTTTCCCCCTTTCAGTTGTTATAGATCCTTTTATAAAGGTTCCTATAAAGTTATTTACTAAAAAAAGTTTTCGTTTATATTGGGCTGTATTAACTCTATTCTATATTTAACTTGTTGAGAAACTGTCAAATAATTTTCAAAGTGGCTGTACTATCTCACATTGCAACTTGCAGTATTACATAGTGCTAATTTTCTGTATCATCACAAACACTTATTATCATCGGTCACTTTTATTTAGCCATCCTAGTGGATTTAAAATGGTGTTTCAATTGCCTCTTAACCTCTCTAATGATTAATGATGCCTAGTATTATATTCATTTGTTTATTGGTAATTTATATCTTTGATTTGGAGAAATGTCTATTCAAATTCATTGACCATTTGAATTGGGTTATTGAGATTAATTGGACTATTGGCTTTTTAATTAAATAACATTTACATTTAATGTACCTAAAAAGAGAATTGACAAGGGTTTTCAAATGAAATAATGGGACAAAGATTTTAGTAAAACCTTTGCACATCTTTCTTGACTAATTGGGTGTTTGTCTAATATTTCAGGGCAGGCACTGAGCTGCTGAGCCTGGTGAAACTAGCAGCTGCAATTATGAATTCACATGCTTTATGATGCATTTTTTCCTATACGCATCACTCACCTGAAAAAAATGCACAAATTATCATGTGCTATTTTAATCAAATTCTGTTGGCTATAGTAGTGCTATAAGCTGTGTTCATTGATTTATATGGTTTGCCATGAAATATCTTATTTATGAATTATAACATTGAAATAATTTAAATCAAGTTTAATTACAAAAATTTAGAAAGTAAACTTTTATTACTAAGATTTGAGTTCAGTTGTTAAGACAAAGAGGAGAAGGAGCAGCATTTTTTAGTTTCAGTGACCTGTAGAGTTCTATCCCAAATATATTTACCACATAAAAATGCTGTTAAAGTTATGGAAGCTGAGGCTTGATTCAAATTATTTTTTATATTATTTAAAATTATAGCTTTAAACTGAATGACTACTCTATTTATTGTTAAATATACATGTCACATCTTCTGAAATCAAACTAATAATCAGATGTTTACCTGTCTTCATGTTGAGAAGCAAAATAGGCATGGGATTCTGGACAAGTTGCTTAAAGTCATTGGGCCTCTTGTTCCAAATTTCTAAAATGAAGATAATAAACATAATTATTTCATAGGGTTATTATGAGTATAAAGTCATCAATATTTGTGAAATGGTAAAAAGTGTATCTAACAAGTTTTAAGCACCAAATATATTAATCCAAAGAAATATGTCATTTGAAGATACAGTTTTGTTTCAGGCATTCACACTAACAAGCCAACAACACTTTTGTTTTCTTTTACCAAGATAAAAAACAATCATATTATCTATTTCATATAATAATTATAGTGCCAATAAATAAAATATAGTATAACTATTATGATATACCTATTTTATTATACCAAATATGAAGATACATTGCAATGCTAACAAATAGGTTTTTAGCATCTTGCTTTTCTAAATGTAACTTCTATGACATAGTATTAATTTGGGATAAAATCAAGACATAGTAAAACTAAGTAATTAAGAATGTTTTTTTTTAATTAGAAATTTTAAGCTCAGTTAATTTCTCTTCATAGAGGAAATCAGAATTGATAAAAAATGTGACTACTTTTTATTAATTTGAGATGGAAGAGAAAACTTTTTGTTTACTATATGCTCAGTTATTTACAGTTTCATCCAGAATACATAATATGACCTAATCTTGAGTGCTCTCTATATTTGATACATTTTTAAACACTATTCTACAATAAAATATTTTTTAATTTTTTATAATATTATCTCCTGATCTAGAACATTAGTATATCTACTAACTATGCATAACAGGATATTAGCCTCTTTTTCTTTTTACTTAAGTACATTTTTATCACAAAATGTAGGATATTTATGTATGCATACGTGTTTTGTAAGGAGGACCAATGTAATCAGATTTCTAGGGATCTATTTGAATGAGGGTTCAAAGTGCCTCTGGGAAATAACTTTTTTAATGAAACAGCAAAATTTTTATTTTAAGGCACAACATATTTCACTATAAAAAGAACATAGCCAAAGAATGGGTTTTATAACGAACAATACACTAGAGAAAAAGGCACAAAACACAAAGCTAAATTCATATTAAACTAGTTGAGAGAATAAGGACTAGAAATGTTGACTGAATGTATCCTTCATTGTCTCCTCTGTTGAAAAATCCTTTAAATTCACTTGTATCTTTTTCTTAGCACATTGAACACTGACCTATTATAAATGAAATAAATTCTATCCTCATTTCAGTTAAAATTTGATGTGATGCACTCCCTTTTAAATGTTATGTGACAAAGAACTAAAACAGATTTACAAGAAAAAAACTAACAAGCCCATTCAAAAGTGAGCAAAGGATATGAACAGATACTTTACAAAAGAAGACTTACATGAGGCCAACAAACATATGAAAAAATGCTCATCATCACTGGTCATTAGAGAAATGCAAATCAAAACTACATTGAGATACCATCTCACGCCAGTTAGAATGGCGATCATTAAAAAATCTGGAGACAACAGATGCTGGAGAGGATGTGGAGAAATAGGAACACTTTTACACTGTTGGTGGGAGTGTAAATTAGTTCAACTATTGTGGAAGACAGTGTGGTGATTCCTCAAGGACCTAGAAATAGAAATTCCATTTGACCCAGCAATCCCATTACTGAGTATATATCCAAAGGATTATAAATCGTTCTACTATAAGGACACGTGCACACGAATGTTCATTTTGTAAACACTAATGTTTACAATAGCAAAGACCTGGAATCAACCCAAATGCCCATCCATGGGAGACTGGATGGGAAAATGTGGCACATATACACCTTGGAATATTATGCAGCCATCAAAAACGATGAGTTTGTGTCCTTTGTAGGGACATGGATGAACCTGGAAACCATCATTCTCAGCAAACTGACAGAAGAGCAGAAGATCAAACACCGCATGTTCTCACTCATAGACGGGTGTTGAACAATGAGAACACATGGACACAGGGAGGGGAGCACTACACACTGGGGTCAGTTGGGGGGAAATAGGGGAGGGATGGTGGGGGTTGGGGAGCTGGGGAGAGATAGCAAGCAGAGAGATGCCAGATGTAGGTGATGGGGAGGAAGGCAGCAAATCACACTGCCACGTCTGTGCCTATGCAACAATCTTGCAAGTTCTTCACATGTACCCCAAAACCTAAAATGCAGTAAAATAAATGGAAAAAAAAGAAAACATTAAAAAAATAAAAAATATATAAAAAACTTAAAAAAAAAACAGAAAAAAAATGTTATGTGACCATCCTAAAATATTTTAATGCACCAATTTACTTAACAAAATGAAGTTTCTTGGGAATATTTTGCAGGACCAGGAGACCAAGACTCACATTTTTTTCTGAGGATGATGGACCAGTATGAAAAGATATGTAGAAAGGGAGGCTGCTTTTCAAATCTTTTTGATTTGCTACAGCGTTAAACATACATGTTCATGGCAAGAATAATACAATTAATTTTCTTAGAACATTTACCCAGTTTTATAACTGTTAACATTTATCTCATTCTCTCTATTCCTAAGTTTATACGTATGCACATATTTGTGTTTCAGAACCCCTTGAGAGCACCTTAGGTGTGTTGGAGCTCTTTACCCCTAAATGCTTCAGTTTGTATTTTTAAAGAAAAGGGGAATTTTCTTATATAACAACAGAAATGTAAAAATGCTAGAAAATTTAACACTAAAACACCACCAGCACATACCCTGTAGTCCTTATTTAAATACCAATTGTCCCGATAATGGCCTCTATAGTTTACAGTTGCTGCTTCCAGGATTATGTGCAGAATCACACATGGTATTTCGCTGTCATATCTTTTAAGAATCTATTAATCTGGAACGTTTCCACAGATTTAACTTCTGTTTCTTAACCTTGACAGTGTTAAACGGTGCAGGCCCGTTATTTTGTGCAGTTTCTCTAAATTGATCATTTCTGATGTTTCCTAATGATTAGATTCATGTTATGCTGTTTGTCAGGCAATACCACACCATGAGTACAGCGTCCTCAACATCACAGCTGAAGACATATGTAGAATGTGCTTTTTATCCAGTATTAGTAACATTAGCTTTTATCACTTAAGAAGGTGACAAGTTTTGTCCTGTAAATTTAATTAATAAGAACAATTAATGAATAAGCTTTCTGTAGGTATCTTATTTGAGATTATAAAAAATATTCTGTTGCTTATCAAATTTGAACGATTTGAGGATTTTTTGGTACACACACACACACACACACACACACACACACACACTTATATACAATTTTGACTTCTACTATAAGGGATAACTTTCCTTTATTTCCTTTTTATCTGTCCCTCACCCCTTTCTTCCTTCCTTCCTTCTTCTTTTTCCTTTCTTGTTTCCTTATCTTTCTATTAAATGCATTATTGTTTTGTTTAATGAGTGGTATTATGCCATGTGACATTACTGATTTTGATACACAATTTGTAAGGAACATTATTATGATTACAACTTCACATGTACTCACTCATATTATATTCTTTTTTTTTCTTCTCTATTTTTTTTTTTTTTTTTTTTTTTTGAGACGGAGTTTCGCTCTTGTTACCCAGGCTGGAGTGCAATGGCGCGATCTCGGCTCACCGCAACCTCCGTCTCCTGGGTT